TCTGCACCTGACGCCTTCTCGTTTTTGAAAGGGGAGTATATGTTACTGCTGCTCTGTGGCACCAGTAGTACACGTAGGAACGGTCGTGAAAGGATCGATAGCATCCCTGATTTTTGATGTTGTTGAACATCTGGTGTCACGTTTGTGCTGATGAGTCTGTATTTGCGACTCACCCTGAGCTCGACAAAGTATACTCTATTTCGGAAAACGAGAAGAGCTTCGAGTGCAGACCACACACCACAAGTGACGACCAAGAAAAAGAAAAAAAAAGCCACTTTCTTTTTGGCCGTCGTCACTTGTGGTGTGTGGTGTGCTCGGCGTCCTTCTCGTTTTCCGCAATAGAAGGTATGCCTTTGTTTGGTGGGGCAACTAGAGTGCAAAAGCTGGCAGAATCAAGGCTACTTAGAACTTCCTAGAACCTCATACAATATTTTGATAGAAGCCTAAAAAATCTTCTCGAAGGAGCGGAACGATAATAAGTAATATTTTCCACCTGAAATGTTTATATAAAAAGATATATCTGAGGTTAGGTTAAGCGTAGGGTTTGCTAGACACGTGTGCAAAGTGTTCCGTAAATCTCGCATGAATCTCTGTCACGGGGGTGATCCTAGAATTCCTGAGGAAATTTGCTGTACCGGTTTCTATGTAGAGGTAGATGATCGGAGCACTGGGAACATTTTCTCCATAAAATTAAGTAGAGCATCCACCCGATCCAGTTACTCGTTTTTGATACCGAACAACAGCTGTTTGGCGAATGTTGTGAATTTAATTTGATCAAAGAAATCCGCCACAAGTACGGCTTCCTTCATCTCCACGGCCATTGTTGCTAACACCGTGCCGAGTAGCAGTAGACGTCCAAATCTGAAGCAGTTTTTGAATCTGTCATTGTAGATCGTCATGTCATTGGAAATATTGCGCCGTTTATGGCAAATAAACTACGTCTAGCTCGATTACGCGAAGGGAAGGAGCGTAGACTTATTACAGAAGAAGCGATTTACGGAGCCTGAACAGTGTAGAGTAACAAATGGTGAATCAAAGGAAGGGCTGGTAGGCTGCTTTTACAGATTGTACCAGAGAGGCATCATCAGGATTGAGTCAACCACCCTGTGCCGACGATAGGAATGTGTTAGGTTTTGAGAATTTCTTTACCTCTTTAGTATTTTCTGTTTCTAGGGCGGAAGTGGTGTAGTGGCAAGTGGCGCGCTCACCACGCGAGCGGTCCGGGATCAAATCCTGGGTCGTGAGTCGCCCGGGCCAACCAAGCCTTCCATCCCTCCGGGGTCGGTTAATTGGTACCAGACTTGTCTGGGAGGATAAAAACACTGACTTGTATCGGCTGGCCCCCGCAAGTCATTGTATAGGCCACATCGCATTCAAACGCCACTACGAATGTAAATGGAAGTAGAATGCGTGCCGCATCCCAAAAAGGATTGATCAACGGCAAATAGTTCACCTTTTTTCTATTTTCTGCTTTGGTCCATGCTATCTTGTTAACTGAATGACGTGACGTAGAGCAACAGAAAAGAAATGTAGATAGCTCCGTACTGCGCGGGTAACTGGAATTTTCCCTCGTCGCGGATGACAAAATTGGTCGGCATTTTGTTGTTCGAAGATCGCAGCACCTTTTTCGCGTCACTCGAATGCGGCAGGTAATCTGTTTGTGCCTAGCGATACATAATCAGAGGGTTTTTTTGCTGGTGAAGTTTGAAACCACTAGAATTGTGGGAAGTTTTTTGGCACGGTCATGACTGGCAAAATGTAAGAACTTCTTCACATGTTTCATGAGATTGATATCTGCGAACTATGATAAAAATGATATCTGCGACCGATCGGTAGTCGAAGGGCTGTTCGATGGGAAAGCATTTGCAGGAGTGCTGCACATGAGCTGTTGGCGCGTGAATGTCACCAGTACGCTTTCCTAGCAATGAGATCACCAATAAGTTAGGTCCTGACTTGAACGTTACTTTGTGATCATTCTAAACTTGACTTTGAGGGCCGAGCTCGCGATCGAATTGGTGAGTTATTCCGCTTTAAAAAGAGGTGAGACGAAGAGGACTATTACCGAGAAAAAACAAGCAAAATGAGCCTCAGAATGTACTGCAATTTAGGTCGCTCCCTTTTTTGTTATGGTCGAGCCGTGTACGACGGGACAGCGCGCGAGAGATGAGAATATACGTGTGAGCAAGGGAGGTCCTCCAGAAGGCTGACAAATAAGGCCATATTAGCCCAATGTCTAGCGCCTGGTGTCGTGCCCTGGTTGAGCACAGTAGCGCATGATGGTGCTCAATCCTAGTTTCCCTGACCGAAAGCACGCTAAGAACATGCTTTGTAAGCTTGATGCCAATCATGACCTTGTCTTAAGAAAAAAAAAGAAAGCGTTTTCTAGCGTTTGAGAGAACAATGGTCCTTTAAGCAGAGCCTTTTCAGGCCCAGTACACTCTGAAGTTTTCCAGGTTCCCGGGCAACGCTGGATAGCTATGGTCTAACTCTGGATTAAACAGTACAACCTTCAGTGAGAAATCGGACGTGAGTCATCAAAAGTTGATCTACTTACGTCTAAACTTTTGCATACCTGTCACCAGCCTCTTCAGCGTCTCTCTTGCGTAACATATAGCGATACAGTGCATTCGTGATAGCGCTTCTTCCTTCGCTTAATCTTGGTTTTGAAGCTGCACTAACGTCATCAGCGTCTGAAAATACCATTGCATTCGGTAATACAGCATTCCGCGTTTGAGTGAGCGTGTTCAGAAAACTGAAGAGTCGAAAATTCTCGAATCACGCTCATTCAGGGGGTTAGTAGTTTCTTGGAAGCTGTAGAATACTCCATTCCAAGTTATGTTCACGTTAACTGTTGCAGCTCATGAATGAACGCTAATGATTTTTTTAATCGACTGCTAGATTGTTTATGGCTCTTTGATTCCTTGGTAGTAGAGTGAGTACTATTTATATCTAAGGACGCAAAAAACTTGACTGATGTTGGAATACCTGGGTTCAAAAAGAATATTGTCTTGAAGGCGGCGAATTCGGTGAGATCGATTTGCATTTCACGCATGGGTTTCAACAATTGATCGAGCATTTGGTATTTCTTCCGATTAAATCCGACAGGCCTGAAAACTCGTCGATTATTAGAAGGAGCTGAAGTCCATTCTGTTCACTTGGAAGGCAGCGATCACGACAACGCTAACACCTAGAATTTATTGTTCAGAGCGAATTAGTGGTGGCTAATAGAGCAGTGTCAGCAAAAAAACTTGCTGAAGAAAGTTCAAGACAAAGTAATTGTTGGCAATGATCCAGTAGGGTATGGGGCGAGGGGCATGACATGTGGAGGAGTCTTCCCAAAAATTAAGAGCCTCTGCTACGGGGACACAAGTTGAAGGCACACCTGAGGATCAAACTGGTATAGTTATTTTGCTCGAAAATGAAGGTGGAGGCGCTTAATGGACCGATAGTGAAGAAAGAATAAAAATGAAATACTGAAAACATTGAAAATAGAAGCCAATTTCTCTGAGCTGTGAAAGTTTCCAAGAAACAGAAAGTGAGGTCGGAGATAATGTACGTCATGGAGCGGCAAAGGAATCGGTGATGAAGAGCATGGGCACGATTGAGGGCGGATTTGCCCTATCACGTCAATTGTTAGGGGAGCTCTTGGTGCTTGGTGAAGCTCCCTGCGAAATCCAATGCCTTAGCGCCCTCATCTGGCAGTTTCGTGGTGTGAATTTGGTGAAGTCCGTATACTCGAACGTTTGCCGATCCCTCTACTTTTCTCGCGCCAGTACTTCACTCCAATGACCTAATCCTGGGCTGTGCGTTTAAGGAAACCTATGCACGTGGACTACCATGTGGACGGGGTGGGGATGGGTACTATTGTATATCAGCTTAGAAAAGGCTTCCTCTGTGTGAGCTATTATGACCGTCGTCTTTGAAGAGATTTTTCATTTTGTGAAAAAAGTGTTGATACCGGTTCTCAAGGTAGCGTGAATATTATATGAAATTAATACAAAATAAAATGGAGCATAAATAACCATGAAAACTTTGGAACGAACCTTTGAGGTTCACTGGTCCGGTCGAAAAAGGCACCGTTTGGAAAGACGATGGTGTCAGGTCCATGGTCTGGAGAGAAGAAAGTGTGGATCAGGCTGGGATAGGTGATTGCGGAGTGTCGAAGGAAGGAGCAGAGCTGAAACAAAGTAAATTAACTGTGAATGAGTTTATCTGCTCATTGGCCATGCGGCTTTCTTTAGTTCACCCGTCACGCAAGTCTTTTTTACATTTTCCTTGCCGTGAATGCTGCGCGAAGATTACAATTTCTGAACGAAACTAGATCTCAGGAGCTGCACGATGACTAAAGCCTAGGCTTAGACTAGGGTTAAGTCTTGAACCTGGCACGAACAGATCAGAGGTGTCCTAATCAGAGGATCACTTAGTTCAAACACGGGAGAAGACGAATGATGAAACTACTCCGGTGCCTCAGGGCCTGCACGTTGTGCTGTCAAGTTAATTGAACATTCCCTTCTTCACGCCGTTTCAATGCTTGAGGTTTCCTGTCCTTGATTGTATTCTGCTCCTTGATTTTTATATACTTCTTACATCAGCGCGTTTGGTAAATTTTCCTTTCGTGTTCAAAATCAAAAGTTCTTCCTTTGCTCAGTAAATGAGGCCATGAATTAATACCATTAGTAACAGTTCTTGCCGTATAGCATGCTTTGAACGGCAGTATCATCTTGTAACTCGACGTTTTAGTCGTACCCTTATTGTTATACAATGCTTGTCTGTAGTGGCAGTTGTATATGGCCTAGAATCGATTTAGGCCCATTTCGATCATACAAACGAATCGTGTATGCCATAGGGGTAATCGCGGATTGGGTGAAGTAGGTGAGCTCGGTGTAGGTGTGCTGTGGTGCCTAAATCATCCCTATCAATGTTATGCTTTGCAGTGAAATCATACTCGGGAACTTTAAAAATATTGGTGATAGGTAGAGCGCGGTTTTGGTTTTTCTGCAAAATATTTGGTAAAATTGCATTTTTGGACTTCAAAATCCAAGTTATAGGGTGTAGGCTCAGAAGGGTCCAACATTGAGGCCGATTACGGCGTGTTGTTGTGTTGGGGAAGATACCGTCTCCAATCGAACTCGCACTCGAATTCTTCGGGTGTGAATGGAAAAACCCTGAGGAGAGCCCTTCCTTTCGCCTTTCTTATTTTCTTTAGAGTGAAAGTCACGATCTGTCTGTGTGCGTAGGGAAATCCTTGAGAATCTTTACAAAATGAATGAAAAATAGTGAATTCTCAATACTGTGAAATTGTTGGTGCAGAACGTAAAAGTAACACAAAGACAAATTTATTCGACGCTGAAGTGCTCAACGGCCGCACGCGCAGAAAACATGTCAGGAAGGCCTTTTCGTCTATGTGTTTTCGCAGCACGGTGAGCCTTGACCAAAACTCGGGATTGAATCGACAGCCTTCAGGTGGGATCAGCGCTTCTGCCAGACCAAGTATCGAACATTGTGGCTGCAAGCTGATGTTGGTTTAGCGCCTTTCATCTCCAATTAAAGGATTTCACAATAAGGTCGAAGGTCTCTAAAAGGAAAATTACCTAGTGAAGAGACAAGTGGATCCCCTACGGACGAGGACCGACACGCAATTTGCAGCGAAGGGTATGCCCCGGCGATCTAGCATGGCCCTCCCCGCGGCGCTATCGGCGCGGTACGCCTCCCTCTCGCTGTCTGACCCTCTAGCCGTTTAGCAGAGAGAGCGTTAGCGTTGAAGAGGGCAGCACCGATGAGAGTCGCATCAATGCGGAAATCAACGGGCAAGGAAGGGTCCCATTTCTCGGGTTCTGGGCCGTTTCTCATGGTTTTTTCTTCATCCTACCACTGACCACCTCTAACTTATTTGAAATAAGTTGCATTATTTCGTAATGAGCTGCCTTTTCATCGTAAAATCCACTTTTAACAGCGTGTGACCAAGGGTTTAATAATCGGACCCGAACGGCGATCGTTCTTCGAGCGGAACTGCTGTCCATTCATTATCATTCAACTGCTTATCTTTTTGTAGAAGTGGTACACAAGACTACGGTCTGCTGTTTATTGATAAACGCCGAACCGTTAGACTGTATAGAACTGTTTCATTACAGATTCCTTTTCGCTTCTTTGAAATCTGGGCACATAACCTACTTGAGGCACCTTGAGCAATTCAATGATAGTGATTTTCTACGGCAAAGCAGTATCAAGAAGTGTTTGATTATACTCCGACCAGAGCGATGGCAGCGCGTTTCATTGGATTCGCCCTATCGTCAACTGCAAAAAGTGACGTTAAACTTCAAAACATCCCTTGCTGTAGGGCAAAATCGAGCCCTGTGCCTTTCAAACGAAGACCTGGCACAATTAAGGATTTTCACGGGTCCTTTTCCTTTTTTTTGAAAGCAATTCGAAAACTGTGCGAGCGAGAGCGGTCCACTAAATGAACGCTCAAATCGCGGAAAATTTGTTCTATGTCTTCCAACTGTGAAAGGTCCATGTAAGCGTCAAACGGCCTTACCCACAGAAGTGGCGCGATTTCCTTCATGAAGAGCAGGAATCTTCACATGGCATGGGAAGAGAATGGTGAAAGGTGCGTAATCTTAGACAAAAATGAAGTGGCACAATGTAGCTGATATGTCAGGTATCAAGTTTGATCTGCTTCCTCTTACTGCTGCTGATGGTAAACTTTGTGGGTAGCGTGTCCTCAGCTGGTCCCTCCCGCCTTTTTGATTGCGTATAATTTTGCTTAACCCAGGCCTATATGAGGATGCGCTGAGTAGAGTGGAAGATTCTGTTTAACGAGCTGTTCGAAGCTCGGCTAGTACGGCTAAGGTGAGCCTCTTGACGCTCTTGCCCGTTCCACTATCATTCTTTTACAAAATTGTTTACAGCCAACATTGAGAGTACATCTATTCTAGGGACCGGTAACAATAAATAAAC